ACGTTCTGACCTAGTCAGGTGACCTTCCTGGCCTTCAAGGCATTCCAGTGGAGGTTCGGGATATGGCATCAAAAATAGGCTTCGAAATCGGCAGTAGGCCGTTCCAGCTGTTCTACACAGCATATGAGAAATGGAAGTCCGATTTCAAGCCAGCTTTTAACAGTCCAGGATCAGCCAAGGCTACCATGGACATGTTCAGCACCCTCTACGAAATGGGCTTCAGGGAGAGAGACCTTCTTGACCAGCAGCAGGTCAACAGGGTGAGCCTCAAAACGGTAAGCATAGAAACCTGTTTCTTTACTGTGAAAATACAGACTAAAAGAGAGGTTGTTACAAACCCTAAACACAACCATTCCAGTCACTTGTTGAGGAGGTTTTGTGTATCTGCTGCGTTTTATATGTTAACTTCTCCTTACTGAGAGGTACAACACTGCACTGCTTAATGAATCTACAGTTCAAGGAGAGTGTCAAGCCCAAGATGGTACACATGGTGCCACCAAACTTCATCAATGGGCTTGAGGCAGCCTTTGAGGCGGTTGCCAACCCAAACCCCCGGAAGAGGAAGAACAGCTGGGATAGCCAAGAAGGAGATGGGGACGACGGTGAACGTGATGGCACCAAGGCTGCATCAGGAAGTGGGACTTCACAGGGTGTGCAGCGTGCCAAGAGGTACATCCTGGAGAAGTTGTACAAGTTCTTCGATCCAGTCCTGAAGGACTTCAATTCAGCATCCAAGATCTACTTAAAAGTGGTAAGTTAGGGGCAGGGTTGAATTATTCATATTTGAAAGACTGTCACTCAATACTCATGGGTGCTCATGCTTGATTACAGACCGAAAAGGAGATTGAGGACTTCATGGTTACGCTGGGTGGGCGAGACAGAACCGTGGCTGGCTTCCACTTGGACTCTGAAGCAACCGACGAGGACATACACGCACGTGTCCGGAAGTCCCTGGTTGAGAGATGGAACAACCGCAAGAAGTGGATTGGAAATCTACAGCAGCAGGCCAATGTGGAGGGCGAGTACTAAGAGTACTTTGGAAATTATATTTTGAAATTGTTTTGGGTTGGGGGGATTCAATGTCCTGCTACTGTGTATGCTGCAAATCCATTTTAGCCCTTATTTGTAAATGCAGAGATAAGAGGAGAGACGTAGTTATAGTTTGGGGTTATTGGATTTTCAAAACCCTAGTATTGAAACCTCAAATATGCATACCATGAAACATACATGCCTGCATACATCAAACATGCAGCTG